TTGCTTTGAACAAAAATATTGTGGTATATGCAGAATTTTATGCTGAAACCAAATCTGTACATAAAAATGGGGGTGCTATTTAAAAGAAATATAAAACTTTATCATAAATTTGTACGTAACCAATTTCCCGTATAAAACAAAAGATTTTTAGGATATAACGTTTTAAACCATACAAGTATAATTTGTTTTTCATATTTTCAACAACGACGATATTTGACTTCCTTGTGCTAATAAGCCACCCTCTAAGTAAATTTAATGAAATATCTTAAATTAGCAGTATTACTAATATAAAAAGAAATAGAAACAGCCTATAAATTTATTTATCTATTATTCATGCAATAAATAGTAGAGATGTTTTGCTTATAATACCTGTGATTATTAGCATTTTCCGTGTAAAACACTAATAGGAAATTTGAAATATTTTCACTTCAAGTATTCTGAATATTTGACATATTAAATAATTTTCTAATTACTTCACTGAAATTTGATGAATTTAGAATCTCGTTAGTGAGTATTTGTAAATTGATAAAGAATGCACTAAGCTTAGTTTATTGTAAAATTTAATCTACGAGGCATATTTAGGTAAAGTACATAAGTCTTTTGACCTATAATATTTTAGACATTTAATATTTAACATGATATGCGTGCCTATATTGCATATAGTTTACTATATACCTGGGTAACGTAGTGGTATGTATGATTAATATCCATAAAAGTGGAATATAAACAGGGTGAGTCATAAATAAGTACAAATATTGTTAGGGGTAGTATACAGGGTGTCTTTTAGCACATCATGGTTTCACAACGAGACCTATCGATTAAAAGTGTTTTAAATATGGCGGCACTTCCGAAAATACCGGAAGTTGACAGCAACTTTCTTATTTTAAATGGGTGCCCCCATTTTTTATTATATATGCAAGTTCTCTGTGAAATTTTATGAATTTTGATATTGAATATTTATCATTAACCGTTTTTGAGGAAAAAATATTTAACATTTTTGAAGGAAAAAATTTGCCTGTCAAAAATATGTGTCTAGCCTAAACGTCAAATTTAGTGATTACCACAGCCACTATGCCATAAAGAGAAAACATCTATATATGGCTATCTATTTCAACGATAATTTTTTAAACACTCAATTCTATGACAGCTACTGCCATTATTATATGACATTTGAACAATTTAATTTTTGAAATAGATGTTCAGGTCTTCATTTTATGTCACAGTGGCTGTGGTAATCACTAAATTTGACTTTTAGGCTATACAGATTTTCTTCACAGGTAGTTTTTTTCGTTAAAAAATTTTAAATAATTTTTTTCTCAAAAACGGTTAATGTTAGATATAGAGTGTTTAACATCAATATTCATAGAATTTTACAGAAAATTTAAGTATGTAATAAAAAATTGTGGCCCCATTTAAAATAAGAAAGTTGCTGTCAACTTCCGGTATTTCCGGAAGTGCCGCCATATTGAAAATATTTTTAATCGATAGATCTCGTTGTAAAACAATGATGTGCAAAAAATCTCCAAGCTAGATGTTGTACCTAGTTCTCTAAAAACTTCTAATGCACGCTCAGCCTGGGACACCCTGTATTTCGACCCCTGGAACATGCCTATGAAATTTTTTCTTTCTGCGAAAAAATTTTTGAAAAAAATTCTGGATATTTTTTTAATATTTACTTAAAAAAACATAATATATTTATAATATGGCAACATGTGTAGCAGATTAAATTTTCACTAGTAATACCCCTAGAGGTCAAATTATTTCCGGAAATTTTTTCGAGCTCATGAATATTTCGAAAATTATCCCGAATCGAAGACCTCGTGTGGTATTCGGTAAGAAAATTCCACACCAAATTGTGTTTGAAAATCAAATAATTAAAATGTATTTTTCGATTTTTGGTCGAATTGATTAGTTAGTTACTATGACAACTAAGTGACACCCAAACCTAAAAACTATTTCAGTTCTGAAGCTGTCAAGCGGCACGGCTTAAAAAAAATGTTTCGCTTCGGTCATGAAAGCAAAGAAAATATTCGTCAGGAGATGAAGCAGTTGACACCCGCGAATACTGGGAAATCGAAGTCAAGCGTATGGAAGCAGTTTACAAACTTTCATCTCAGCTTTGAAATTAAAATGTATCAAAATTATCATGTAAACAAATAAAAACCAGACTCTCAAAAAGATATTCTGTCATTATAAACGTCAAAAAATTTCCAGTATAATTCCCTGTTAGGTGCCCACAAGGAAAAAAATTTCACTAAAATTTATCCGTTGCCATGGTGATTTGTCAAAAAAACACGTTTTGATTGATTAAAAATTACAGGTGTGGAATGTTCAAAAAAGTAAACCTAGTCGTTCTGAAAATTTAACCGAAAAATATTTTTTTTAATTTTCAAGGTAAAATAACTCGATTATTTTTTTTGATTGATTGAAAAACGGTAAAAAGAAAATATGTTTCTTTTATCGAGATCTACCAGACCTGAAAATTTGATATAATGTATTATTTATCTAAAATTCCTCTTATACTAAAAAAATACTAAAATCAAATATTATCACCAAGTTTATATTAGGTTTGGAAAGGTTACTTCAATTTGATATAATTTGAGTTATTGGACTGTAAATGGAAAAATTTTATTAAAAAAAGTTTTGACTTTTTCATTTTAGAAAATAATTTTATATTTGAATTACAGACGGTGAGTGTGAGAATTTTCTTTCTAATTTTAAGTTCAAAAACATAAAATTTTTATGATATGGAAACAGAGGCAATACTTAGAGAAATAAAAAACTTATTATTTTAGTGAAAATATTTGCACTTATTTAAAACTCACTCTGTATATTTTTTAAGATGTAGAATCTATTTGAATAAAATTTATTCTTTTTTTACTTCACATTAACGTAGCAGCAGTAATATGAATTGTAGCCGGCCGTAGCTCCAGCGGTAATGTGTCGGTAGGTACTGGGTTCGATCACCAGCCAGTACTGTCGCTTTATTTATTTAAATAAAAATATTTATTTATCTAAATAAAGCAACCAATGAACCGGCACCTCAAGGTAGGCAATGGCAAACCACCTTGAGTATATTTGCCTTTTACAGCCTCTCAAATAGTGCCATTCGGATTCGGTGATAAACTGTAGGTCCCGTGAACTTGTAAGAAGAAGTAATATGAAGGTAATAAAACACACAAGATCATGTTAATATTGACATTTATTATCAGTCAGTAAGATACAATACACACGGATTCACTGTGAGTTTTTATCATTTTCTTTTAAACAGAATAATTTCTCTTAATTGTATTATAGTACGCCAGCTACATTCAGTAGTGTTTTTTAATATATTACCAAAATATATTTAATATATACATTTGTTGTAAAAAAATATGAAGAGATATGTACAATAGTGTTTGCGCCGAAACGATATATAATTGTATTAAGTGATTTTTGTAACAAATTTCGATATCTTTACTTTAACTATACATATTTATGATCGACGAAATTACAAATATCACTTTTATTAAATCAAAATTAATAGTCTATACCATGCTTAGTTGTGAATAGTTAAATTTGAACGATTTTGAATTTTAAGAAAGCAATATTGTTCAATTTTGAAAGATGTTACGATAAAGCTCAGGATTGGTTGAAAAATATTGCTTTCCTGTTAATTACCTGATCGTTCAAACCACTTCAAAAATAAATAAATATGTGGGCTAAAACTATATTCTGGAGAATAAAGGATTTTTGTAATAAATTTCAATATCTCTCATTTATCTCTACATTGATTTGATAGGCAGTATTACAAAAATCCCTTTGAAATAAGATAAAATACAATTGACCGATTTTGAATTCTAAGAAAGCAACGATGTCTTTCAGTTGTTAGATGGTAAGTTCTCAGGATATATAGAGAAGCACCATTGCTTTCCTATTAAATACATAACAGATCAAACCACATAAGAAATATAAATTGAATTTAAAGCAGCCCTAGTTAACTAAAGAATTCTATAATTGCTGCACGAAAAAAATAGAGAGGCACAAGATCTTACTTCTAAGTTTCTACCTACAAAAATACACATGTGCTGTATTTTCCTGTGTTGCACTAAAATTTAACAATTTCTTAAAGGCTAGCAGCAGCTCTATATTGTATATTGGCAAAATAGAGGTGAAATCTAATTATATACATTATATTCAACTTATTGTCAGTTAAATTAAAGCAGACATTTTCAGCTTCAAGATATTTTTCCAAGTTGCACATTTATATAACAATTTTACATAGTTGGCATGTTTAATTATTTACTTTTATATTTTGTATTTAGCAAAATGCATATATTTCTGGAAAACATATACATAAAATATTGGTATAGTTAAACTTAAAAAAACATAATTTTAAGTAAAGTTAAAATATAGTAACATATAGGTGACATTTTCTGAAACCTATATATCTACGTTGATATGTACTAATTATAATTACTGAGACAAATATACATCTTTTTTTAATGAAATGTAATAATTATAGCTGTAAGCTTATTTATATTTTACTAATACGGTATAAAAAGGGTTAACAAGTATTAGTAAAATTTAAATAAACCCACAGGTGTAATTATTATATTTCATTAAAAAAGATGCATATTTGTCTCAGTAATTATTATTAATACTTATACAGGGTGTCTCAGAAATAAGTGCAAGTATTTTAAGTGGTTGTAGATCTCAATAAAAGAAATATATTTTCTCTTTATCGTTTTTCAAATAAGTCCAAAATAACAGAGTTATTTTACATTGAAAATTTTCAAAAAAAAAAGATTTTTTGCTAAAATTTTGAGAACCAATGGATCTTTTCTGGATTTTCTTTCTTGTAAATTTAATCTACTACCTATGTTGCCATGTTATCAAGAAATTATGAATTTTAAATAAAAACTGAAAGACATTTCCAAAAAAAAAACTGAATTAAAAAAAATCGCGAAAAAAACCTCCTAGGCGTGTTTCTGGGGTTGAACTATACTACCAGTTAAAATGCTTGCACTTATTTCTGACACCCTGTATATATAAAAAGGCTTAAGTTGGTTTGGAAATAACGATCGATGCCATCCACGTTGTAATTTTACACATAAAATGGAAGTATAGTTTATTTTTAAGCCAACCGTCCATTATTTTGATTGTAAGATATAGGTATGTAAAAATATAAAGAAATTTAGTTTAAATAGTTTTGCAATGATAATAAAGAAAATAAATATCTTATTTCGTAACACTGAATCACTGTAATTTTACAATTAAATTTGAATTAAGATGTGGTTCCTTTAAATTACATTATACATTTCTATTAATATGTTTCAACTAGTTAGTTAAACTTCCAATATGTATACTAACAAGCACAGTCCATTTTTCTCTATATCACAGGTTAAATCTGCAATTTTCGAGAGCTCAATAAAGCTTATCTTCATTTGTTAAATACAAAGCTCTTGGTAAGATTTTGATTCTCTAATCCACGTCATATAAAAATAAAATTGCATAACACGTCCATTCATTCCCAAATACCCTGTGACATCATAAACAAGAAAACTATCTTAGCACATTCTAGGTACTTTGCATTTAAATAGACATTATCTAGTATACTAACTCTATTTACTTTAATAGTATCTTATTTGATAAAATTGTAACATGTCAAATTATGCTATTGATGATTTGTATTTAAATCTATAAAGTGCTTTCTATTCTAATTATGTACAATCGTTTCTACCTAAAATGGAAGGATCTGTTAAAAGCAGAGAAGAACGGCAAAAGTTCTTTGTCTAATTTAGAAATTAATAATACTCATTTCTGTCAGTCTTTGAACCATCTAAGTCAATTCACTCGTATGTTTTCTGTTACAATTTTTGGAAACTCGTTCTGATTAGTAAAATAGAGCGTTAAATTTGTGTATATTTAGTAATATATAGAAGTTTCCAAATTCTGCAAGTGTAAACATCGCTCTAATTTTATAATATACCTATCTATTTGTACAGTATAAATTTTAAAGAATTTTGAAAGAATTTGGCATGTTTACTGTGCTTTTTTCAAAACGGATAATTGTCTGGTCAAGCTGTCCTCGCTCGAAACGATGCGCTTTTTCATTGGTTCCTGAAGTTCCTCGTCAGGATGTTCCTGGAAGATAATATGCAATGTTTTAATAAAATAAGAGAATTATAATGTTAGATTTAGATAAAAAAAAGTTTTTATTGATTTTAGTTTTGTAGCTGCAACCGCTGGAGGCTTTTCATCTCCTTTTCATTCATGCCTACTGCACTGCGCTATAAGTGGAGACTGGCGTCGACAAAACTTGGCTCCGCGCCAAATTTTCGCCAGTCTATTACATCACGGGCACTCTTTGTCGCCTGTGACGTCATTTTACCACACCCTTTCTTTATTTTTCTCTCCCGAAAATATTTTTGCAGAAATAATGATAAAATTTATTACTTCAATAACGATAAAAAATTCGATTTATTTCCTTTTTATTATTTCGATTTAGAGAATTAAATTTGTGTAGTTTAAAATTTTCTTTTAATTAAATTTTAACTTCTGTGGGGTCATTCAATTTGCATGTAATAATGGGGTTTGTCAAATTTATTCGGGGAAAAACAATAAAATTAATGAATAACTTTGAAAATATCGGAATTGTTAAAATTGTTCAATTAAAACGAATTTTAAACTACTTCCATACAATCTACCGGGTGCGTCTCAAAAGTGGCTCACCCCTATAACTTTTTTATTTTTTCAGTTATAAAACGAGATTTGGTATGTTAGTATATGACATAAATCAGAATGGATGGACGTATTCAATTGTCATTTCCTGTTTCACCGGAAATGACTACTTTTGATTTTTAAATGGCGCTCTCGGAATTTTTTTACGTTATTCGATAGAAAATAACACTCTGAATAGAATAAAATATCATATGTCAACTTTTGATATTTTCGCATATGGTATTTGAAATTATAACTTGGGGTTCATAACGAAAATTTGACTCGAAATGCCAAGTGTGTGGTATCAAATGATTCGTAAAAAAATGCTTTTTCCAAATATGCTAATGAGCCACCCCCGTTCCATTTGAAAATATTGAAAAATGATTAAAAATAACGATTTGAGCCGTTTCTAACTGGCCAGGAAAATACACTAAGAGCATTAGACGATCAAATCTATTTTTCCAAGGTGCCTTGATTAAGAGTTAGTGTTTTTAACATAGCCATCGCACTCTAGATTGAACTTTAAAATACGATTTTTTATTAAGCGAGTATGTCAAAAGTTGAAATTTGATATGTCATTCTATTCAAAATGTCATTTTCTATCGAATAAAGTAAAAAAATACCGAGGGTGCTATTTAAAAATCAAAAGTTGTAGTAATTTCTGGTGAAACAGGAAGTGACCAAAAACTGTCAAAAAATGTCATATACTAACATACCAAATCTCGTTTTTTTGTTTGTTAAAATAAAAAAAGTTATAGGGTTGAGCCACTTTTGAGACGCACCCGGTATATCTTGTATTATACCTGTATCAGTTCTATTGTCTGGAGAACTACAACGTTGCAGTTTGTTATAAGATATAATGCATATTGTAAGCAGATATTGCCTTTATATGAAGTTTAAATTATATCTTAGAAAACTCGAAGTTTGCAGAAATAGAACCACAATTTTGTTTTAGTTGCAAACTAAAATTATTTACGATCTATTTTATAGATATAAACAATGATTCAATATAGAAACTAAAAGAATTTCCAACTTCCATTGTCTTTGTTTTAACTTACACGTTTCGTTCAGATCACCGACAATATACAATGCAAGTCAAACATTTTTTTAGTATCAAATTATATAGATACTTACATCTTCGTATTTCTTTTCCATCTCTAGCATTTTTCTGATGGTATCATATACTGACGGTGACCTTTTTCTCTCTTCTTGCTGATTGATCATACCCAATACGGATTCTGAAAACGGATGACGTACTGGTGTTGCCGGTCTCATCAGCACCTCTTCTTTCTGTCCTCTCACGTCCCTTCGAGGTCCTTCAGTGGATGGTACTGGAGGTTCGGTGATTAATACATCTTTAATTACTGGCTTACGGTCTGTGTAGACTACTACGTCATCCTGACTTCTTTTCACCAAGCCGTTGTTAGGTTTGACTCTCTGTCTGCGCTGTTTTCTATCCCGATTTTTCCTTTGTTTCTGTTTCTTGGGAAGTTCTTTCAGCTCCTTAACGTCTTCGTCTTCAACGTTGACCGGCCTGTCGTATGGGACGTCATCCCATTTGGATGGAATTGTAATAACATCGGAGGTTTCATCTACTGCGTAATCGTAGGGATATTGATCGTAATATGGACCCTTTTCTTTGGAGGGTTTATCTGTTCCTTGGAACATTTGTTGCATCATAAGGTTATTTAAAAATGCAGCATTAGTTTCGTCTACGTTAGAGTCACCCTCTAAATTATAGTCATTCTCGTATCGAATCTCATGTCCAATCGGTTGGGATCTTTCTCTTTGCTCTCTCTCCATATCCTGTACGATTCTTTCCTGATCATTTATCGTCGGATCCACGTAATTGTAATAGTCGTACTTGCTTCTCGCTGGTTGCATTTCTTGATAGTAATACGGCAAACCAGCTTGATAAAGATCATAATTGGATGTTCGAGGATATATATAATAGATTGGGTAAGCGTCTGGAGTGTAGTAGTAGTCGTCTGGGTATGCTTGTGCGTAATTTGGATAATAGGTGTAAGGGTACCTCTGGGTACGGACGTAAGTAGTCTCATATGGATCAATAGGATCAACAGTAGAGCGGTACCTTCCGTACCGTTTAGTACCATATATGTTACTAGGGTAAGAAGTGACCAAGTCAATTAAAAAGATTAGGAGGATTTGCATTATGGGTAAATCTTTAAGAGCGATCTGAAATAAAAGAAAATAATATAACAATAAAATTTAAGATACGTTATTGATTTATTTAAAATTTTCATATAAATTTAAAGGGTTTTCTGTGATAACGGATATTCAGTCAGGTATTATATTATAGATTACTTTGGTCTTTGATTAAATTTTTGTTCCGGTAAATTCATAGAGGCGTTATGAGATCAATGGCGCTTTTTCAACAAGTGGATTCTCGTCCATGCGTGATTAATACGCTACGCTTTGTGGCAGGAAAACCAACACAAGCGCGGTAGGATATTTAAACGTTATTGGCATTTGTATTATATCGCTAATAAAGATAAAAAATTCGTTAACTAGATGTTACCATATGGCGCTTTTCACAGTAATTATTTTAGTTTTCACTATAATTTTATTGTCGAATATATTTTTTATATAATAAATAATTGTTTAGAACTGGATAAGATAAAATATTAATTTTATTCTTATATACAGGGTGGTCCGAATTGTATTCGGGAAATTACAGCAACTTATTCTGCAGAAACTTCATTTTTATATCAATTTTTTCCAAATAATTTCTAAACTAATGTCGATATTTGGATGAAAATTGATGACGATGTTGATATTTGGTTGAAAATTGATGATGTTTCTTGATACGAAAATTTTGATCTCGGTGTCAATAAAGCTCATATTTATAGAAAGCGCCACTTACATATTTCTTAATTCGTTTGAAGAGTAATAAATTTATGTCGGTACCTGTATAAATCCACAGAGTGAAAAAATGTGTATTTCCGGTATTTTCTACTTAAAAAAATATCTCTTAACAAAAAATAAATATGTTGATTAGATAGTTATTGACTGAAATGATAAATCTGAAAACTTTTTATTTTTTTTTCAAATATCGAGCTTAATTTTTTCCAAAAAATCGAAAAAAATTAAATTTCTACAACCTGCAGTTCATAAACGAACATTTTTATAAGATTCCCTAATAAAAGACCATCCGGTATGCTAAATAATAAAATAAACACTAATAGTCATTAAAATGTTATTTTTAATAATACAATATAAACCATAATAATATAAAATCATATTAAAACACACTATTCTTTACAAATCTTAAATAATTTTAATTTATTAATTAAAAGCAATATAATTTCTTAATTATACGAGTTGTTCTGTTAATATTAAATAAAATATATTATACTATTATTTTATCTTTATTTGAAAATATATTTTTTATATATTGTAAATAATTGAAATATAATTATTGTCTAAATATATTTTTATATTTATTAAATATATTGTGCATTGTGTTTATTAGACAAAAAAATAGATTAATTGTATGTTTAAAAAAATATATTATTTAGATGTAATAAAAAAAATATTTTTTTATTAAAAACATATTTAATTAAAAAACATTATGAATTAGAAAAATAATTTTGAGACTTACCATTTTAAATTAACAACACAACACAAAATATCAACTGTAACTATACACCGGCACTGCACTCTTGATCTGCCGCAGATTGTGAGGGAAATGTGTCACCCCCTACGCTGTTACTTCTATTTATAACCGTAGTCTCCCCTACATCAAGCACCCACACACTTATCAATGAAATACGTCAGGGTGGGAGTAAGGCCTGGAATATGCAACATCGTCGTCCCATTGGGCGCGTATTCAACAAGCTGCCTTCCGATTGGTCGTGACGATCGCGCTAGTATTGATCGTTCAAATACGGGCGCGAATTCTCGGAACGACAGTGCCGTTATTCGCCGAATTCGATTCATTCATAACTCCGGCATTTTTCGGGGATGGAAGCCTTAAATGGGACTTGGACTACGTTTCAGAAGTCTAACTGGAACAGGCTACATCCATGGGTGTGTCGTAATAGACTCCTAGATACTAAAGAACGCTGTTATACAATGCCAATGGAGTTAATATCCTTTGATTATTTTTAACAATAATATGAAAGCAACAAATAAAAAATGAAACCAAGTTGAAATCTATGAACAATTAAATGTGTCTATATTTAAAAAAAAATCTGTTAAAAATTATTTTTTGTAAATATATACAGGAAATATCTAATCCATATGGAAACGTGCTTGTCAGGGGATTTCTATCAGTAACACAAATTTGCCTAACTGAAAAGTTACTAAACTAAACGTTTTAGGAGTTATATTCCCCCCCCCCCCTTCGTCAGAAGCCATAAAAAGCACAATAAAAAAAAAGAAAAAACTAGTTAAAAAACTATCTAAAAGTTATTTAAGAACACATATTTCTAGCGGGTACGTCTGTTTTAAACCTCTGACGTTTTGTTAACAGAATTGTTAACATTCTGTTAATAACCGTTATATTAACCGTTAACCGTTATATTATACTTAAATATTTATTTTCCTAGTTTTTTGGTTTCTGATAACTGGAGGAGATACAAGATCTGAAATATTTAAGACTAAATACTTTTTTAATAATATTAATATATCATCATTTAATCCATCAACTGATAAATAAGTGTATTAGTAAGGTCTAAAAATAAAAAAAATCCAAAAGAAAAAACTCAAAAGATTTATAAACCAGGTCTCTTTGGGAATAATCGGCTCCTTTTTTAAATTTCTAAAAACAAACGTCTCTAATAATTTTAGAGTATATTATGTTAACTTATAATGTTACATTATTGTTATTAAATGTGGTTTGGTAACAAATTATTAAGCGTCTATTAATTGTATAAATGTTAATATTCAAAAGAATATATATTTATATTTTCTGACATATATTCACCAAAATCATACCAAATTAATTAAACAAAACAATATAAAATGTGAGCTACAAAAATACATTTTTAAAAGTATTTGTTGACCAAAAATGACCCATAACAAATATTTATACACATACCGTATTAATTACACATTATTACGTGCTTAAGAACATGTCAATCATAGGTTACTAGATTATGACAAATTTGATATTTTAATTTATATATGGCCTGTAATTTTTTATTATCTTTTTATTTATTTAATATAAAGTGTCACTCATTTTTGAATATAATTTTAACATACCATCTTTAATCAAATTTGAGGAACAAAGTTTGACACAAAATAAAAGTTAATAAACCTTCTTTAATAAACGTTCTTTAACGTAAAATAAAAGTATATCTAAACGTAAAACAAAAGTTTATCAAAATACCTAAAATACTAAAACAAATTAAGGTACAAAAGCCTAGATATAACTTTCAATATTATAGTTGCGTTCAAAGTTTTAGTTTTGCATATCAAAAATACTGTTACCAAAAATTTGCCAATATGTAATGAATAAAATTTGGTTTAGTAAAAGTAGTTCTGATGTATGAATTGTTTTATTGAATTTAACGTAAAAATTCTTGTAAAAATGTTTGAAGTTATTTTAAAGAGATGTTATTTATGCGGTCAGTTATATAATTCAATTCAAGTCAAGTATATAATTTGTTATATATTTTGTCTGTTCTTTTAAATTTAGAAATATTTTTTATATTAATTAAAAATCATTTTATTTTAATGAAAAAGTTTGGGAATACTGATATATTACATTAAAGAGAATAAAGGAACTTAAAAAACTAGAAATAGGTGTAAATATATTTTTGTAGATTATAAAATTATATTTTTTTCTTCTTTTTTCCATCCCCAAGTTGTGACCTTGTATCTTAAATGTACCGTACTGATAAAGGCCATCAGCCAAAAACAAATATTATATTATCAATTAAATTTGTTAATGCACCTAGATATATTTTTTTGCGTGGTTAAGAACATGCCTATCATAGGTTTCTAGATTATGTTGTGTATATCATATTTTCATAATTCAAAAAGAAAAATTGAGTAACTTTTTCAAACAGACAAGCTTTCTTCAATGGGAAAATACGAGAAACTTAGAGTAGAAGGAATAGAAGATCCTATGATTGATAAAAATATGATTCTTTCCGAATCTTCTAGCAAATGTGAAAAATACCAGTAGCGATGAAGAAGAATTTGAGAGCCAACATTATGTAGCAGAATTGGCCGTATAGATCTAATATGTCTTACCTATTCTCGCAAAAATACTTAAGCCGTATAACGCCGTAGGTACAATACAAGTGACCAAATAAGCTATGAAATATTGTATGCCTAAGAAATACCTAAAAAATCGTCAGAAGGGGAACTAGGGTACTACATTCTGTCCAGAGATAACTGACCTTAACTGAAAATGGACGAGAGAACAGGTGGATTAATTGCATTATAGAATGGCGTCGAAGATGCATTGTATTTAGAAACAGAGAAATATTAACTACTAGATGGTCAGATGGCATAAAAAGAACTACCTAAAACCAATATCCGGATACAAGTGGCTTACGACAGAAATTAATGGTTACAATTGAGAGGTCCGGCAGTGAATCCGTGAGACTGAATGATAATTATGATGATGATTAGCATATTAGTGCACATTAGGTAACGTATTATATAAATATAAGATATGTAGAGACGTTTTTCATATCAAAACACTGTTACCGTAAATTTGCCAATATGTAATGAATAAAATGTGGTTTAATTAAAGTAGTTTTGATATAATCAGCGTGCATTCTTTTAATGAATTTTAAGATAAAAGGTCTTATTAAAATGTTTGAAGTTATTTTAGGAGATATTATCAATGCGGCCAGTTATAAAAAAGTATATAATTTGTTATAATATAACAAATATATAATATATGTTTTACCCGTTTTTTTTTAATTTTTAAATATTTTTTTTATTTTAATTAAAAATCATTTTTTATTTTATGAAAAATTTTTGGAATACTGATATATTACCCCTAGAGGAATAAATAAACTTAACAAACTAGAAATAGGTGTAAATATATTTTCTAGATTATACCATTATATTCTTCTCTTCTTATCTCCATACCCCAAGTTGTTATCTTGCAATTGATTTACCCTACTGATGACAGCCATTACCCGGGCTATGCCGATATTTCTATTCTTTTTCTCATCACGAGGTGGATTTGGTGACTATTGTCGTAATTTCATATCATAAAAAAGCATTAAAAAGTAACGATACATGCTTGGTTTTAATAAATATTAGTAACACCAACAGAACGTTTGAAGAATTGAAGGATATTAAAAAAAACATAACTGTAATAAGTAAGTGTAACAATCTTCAACACAAGTGTGACAATCTTCAACAAGATCGATAATTTCCATTTCCATCTAACGATATTCAATCGTACACAACAATAATCATCATAACAAGCTCGTTATTTTGAAGAATAACATCAAAAAGTAACAGTAATTAAAAAAATGCAAAAAGTTTGTGGCCGTTCATTTTGCGCTTAAAAATTAACCAAGGCATGTGTTTTTGACATAAGTCAAAAAACAAAATATTTAGTAGGCATGGTGCTAAATGAAAGCTGATGTTTTAAGAAAATTTCGTGACGATTACACAGAGTACTCTAAAAATAGGTTAAAAGACAACTATTCGATCAATCCTGTATAATAAGTAAAACACAAAAGATTTAATAAACTGTGTTTACGAATTAAAGTTGTATATTTATATACAGTTTGCTAAAAAACAAGGAAAAAGGGTTAAAAATAAAAATATATAACACTTTTAAACTTGACGAAAAAAAATTCCGATGCATTTATTTTTGCATCTGAGTGTAGTTTCTTATTGTTGACATGGCCAGTCTATTGATTTTATTTCAATGTTCGTGTTATTTTCAATTTCTATCGCTAACGATATTTATATTTAGCTACCGACATTTCTTCTAATTATCACGCAACTATACAAATTTCGTTTCCTTGATCTCTACTTATTGCCAAAAGATCTATTTTTATCTAGTAATCACCTTAATTTCGATTCTAAAAATAAATGTTATGACCTTTAATAAACAATTCATGAAGCAGACCATGTTAGAGTTAATAAAAATTTTATAAAGAGCGATAATACTTTTTCCGTCGGATGTAGTTCAATTTCAACGCGTGAAAATTGAATATTACATAAAAGTACAATGATAATATTAGAAAATTTAGTATTAATTTATTTATATTATTAACTATTAACAAGCCGAATCTATATAATCAAACTATACACTGGGGGGGGGGGGATTATACAGGGTCGCTTTTATGTATGGAAACGGTCGATTATTAGGTAAAATACACAAGGTACCGGAAAAAGTTAAATACAAAAATTATAGGGTTTTAAATTTCTATTGGTGAGTAATAAATTTATGTATACAGGGTCGGTCATAAAGTCGTAGCACATCAGAGTTTCATTTTTTTAAATAGAGCCCCCCGTATATTATTGAATATTTCAATTTTTTCTTCAGTTCTAAGCAAAAATCGAAATCACACAATGTGTCTCAAACCGACCGTTTCTGAGTTATTGATTTTTGAACATACCACTTCAACAATTTAATTTAATTCATTTCGGTATGTTCAGTTTCATTTAATAATGCCATTCTGCCGAAACTGTGATACTGTTGTAATGGGTTTTTAAAAGCCTATTAGCTACTAGTAAATTTAAGTATACAGGATCGGTCATAA